GAGTGATAGTGGCGAGCGGGAGGGGTGCATACTGGGTGTCAGAGTGATAGTGGCGAGCGGGAGGGGTGCATACTGGGTGTCATGCCCTTATGGAGAGAAGGAACACTGGTAATGCGAAAATCACTCTTCTACGACTGCGACAGAGTATGAACTGCATAATAGGGCCTTTAACGATTTTTTCTACCTAATTTTATGGAGTTTAAAAATAAATGGACTAAGGGCCTGTACGTTTTGAAATTAAATCCAATAAGGGAAACGTGATTGAGATAAATTGTTGTGTAAGCTACTTCTTCTGATTTAGTAAAGGAAATCTCAAAGAATAGGCTTTTAGTATGATGGAATAAAATATGCCTACTGACTATATTAAACAATAACAACAAATCCATTCAGCATTCCTGTCCTTTAATGGAACTGTACTTTCAAAGCTTTCTTTCATCCTTTTCTTGCTATTGGTTGCCAGCTTTGCCCAAACAACTTTTCTTAAATGTGTGAAAAGATGAAAGCCATGAGACATAATTATCAATGATGTCACAGAGTTTGAGGCACTTCCAATCATGCTTGCTTGTTCATTTCCTGTAATCTTAAAACTCACTGATGTGGCCCAATTTAAAATGAAATTACTGATGTAAACAGAAGATCTTGGAGCTCTAATTGCTTGGGAAACTGAAATGCAGCATTTGAGCTCATTGCGTCTGTTATCCAAAGATGCTATAAAATATTTAAAGTAGTCTAGAGAACTTTTGTTTCATTAACTACATTATATTTATCAGAACTATAGTTCTGCTGTAAGAGTCCTCTTATGCTTTTAGAGGACTCATAATTGTGCATTTATGGTAGTTTTAATGACTTTGTATGAGTTTAAGGTGTTTGAATGCTTGTCAACATGGAGCATCAATTATGTTAATTGAGATAGAAATGTGTGATTTGTAGGAGTACATTGGAAGAGGCAGTGCATTGTGGTTGTTAGATAGGTAGCCAGGAAGGACAGTTAGGTTCGAGTCCTGCTTAGCCACTTATTTTGCTAAATATCACTGCATTTGTTAGCTATAAAATGGGATTAATGATACTAGAACCATTTTCATATCAGTCTTTTTGGAGTGTACATAGGAAAGAAAAGAGCACTTTGTGAATATTTGTTACTATGAGTAGTTCGTAAGTAGTTAGAATTTTTCTCCAGGATGTGTGGAATCCCAGCATTCAAAATGAGGCCGTCTAGAAAACCTGGAGGAAGTCTGTCGTAATTCTAAGCCTCTGCTGTTACTGTTAGGAGCTGTCAAGTCTGTTTCAATTCTTCGACACCTCATGTCCCATAGGCTTTGCAGTCTGCAGTCTTAATGGAAGCAGATTGTCAGGTCTTTCTTCCTAGGAGCTACTGGGTAGGTTTTCATTGACAGCCTTCCAGTTCACAGCCAACCCTCGGGCCACCCATAGTCCGAACAAATAGTATGAAAGAATGGTGACCCGTTGCCTGTCCACTTTCCTCATACTCTGCGATTGTGTTTTCCAATGTGAATCTCAAGGACCCCTTAAAACTAACAGAGCTCCCTGTTAAAGGCAGGTTTTCATGCCCCAGTCTAGATCTGCTGGATCAGAATTCTTCTCCCAAGTGTCTTAACTTCCTCATAGACACAATAGCAAAAGAAGATCCAATGTTGCAGAATCTATCTTAGTGGGAATTAGCATTTTAACAAATTTCCTAGCTGGTTTTTTTGCAGGACAAAATTTGAGAACATCTGTTTTCCCTCATCCATGATTTCTTCTTCTCAGGCTATAATCTCACTTCACTTTTTTTTCCCTTTCCAGCTTTGGGCATTTTCTTATTTCTTTCAACTCAAGGTTCTGTCACATCTCTTGTTTATTGACTTCATATTTTTCTTTCAAAATCAGAGTCCACCATAGTCAATCTTTTTATTACACATCCAAAGTCTACATTATAACCTCTCATTCTGTATTCTCATGGTCCCTAGTTAATCTTTTCCCACTGTTTCTCTTTACAACTCACTGCCATTAAGTTCAAGTGGAACTGACCCTGTGGGTTCCGAGACTGCAAATCTTACTGAGAGAAGAAAGCCTCTTCTTTTTCTTCCAGGCAGTGGCTGGAGGTTTTTGAAGTGCTGACCTTGCCGTTAACAGCCCCATGCTTATCTCCCTGTGCCACCAGGACTCCTGTTTTTCTGTAAGTGGGATGTGAAGATCATGCTGGCTCTGGATTTTCACAAAACATTTTCTTTAGTTTTCTTTGAATTAGTCCAGAACTGCCCTTAGTTTCTTGCTTCAATTCAGCTCTTCAGTCCTCTTTCAGCCATCTTTTTCCTTAGATGTTGGGCTGCTAATCTCAACACCGGCCTGTCAAACCCGCCAGCCCCGATGAGGGTGAAAGAGAGGCTGTCTGCTCAGTTTCTGACACTTGCACGGTGGCCAGGAGTGGGCATTGGCTAGGTGGCAGTATTCCTTTGATAAAAGACCGTGGCCTGGATTTCTGGGAAGAATTTGCAGCTGATAAGGAAGAACTGTTTTACATCTCTCATGTAGCTTAACCCCCTGGAAGACCTACTTGGAGAAAAGACACAAGAAAAAGGTCTAGTCTTACAGAATCTTTGTCCTGTTGCATGGACACCATCTGAACTCTACACTCCTTGTCAGGATTTTACCAGCAGACATGTTCGAGAAATCAGTAAGCAATGCTATACTGCATTGTTGCAATATAGCGGATTGCGAAGACTGTACTTAAACCTTAAAATATACCCAGGACCCATGTATTTGGTGTTCTCTAAATCTAAAGCCTTGTGTGGGAGATCAGAGAGTATACTCCATATATAAATGTTCTCTTGCTTCTTGACCAAGGTAAAGATTAATAGGAAACATGTGATTCACCAAGTATATAATAGACCTCTTCTGTAAAAAGCATGAATTTATTATGTTCGTGTGACTGCTCACATAGACCCATTGGAATCTTAATGATCCATGAGGTAAATTGTTCACATTTTTAGAGGTGCATCTACATTACAAAAACCCAGGACTTTCAAGAGGCACTGCATTGTTGGGCTTTTGAAAGCACTTGAATCCCACAGTGCTGAAAATAGGACCAATATTGAGGACTCATAAACACACATGTTGTAGTAAGAAGAAAACAATACAAGTTCGGGAGGAGGAAACACACGTTTTGCCAAATTTGATTATTTAAAGCACCGGAGACATTTTAGAAGTGGCACTTCTAAACTAGTATTTTAACTAGTTTTTAACTAGTTAAATACTTTAACTAGTATTTTAGCTAGTTAAATGGAAAGAATTTAAGTCCTGGAATTTTACCTCTTTTTTGCAATTATTAGCATTTTCTTTGCAACAATGAACATTTAAAAATAGGCACCGCAATTAAGAAAAATTTAAAGAAATATTAAATACTAAGAAAGGATTAATTTCTTGCTAAATCTTTAACTTCAGTGTCGGTTGAGGGAAGGTGGACTTTAGTTAAATTTTCATGTTGATGTTTAGGCTTTTCTTTGATTGAAGTGATGGTAGATCAATTTTTGAATAAACTAAAATTAAGAAATCATTGAGAGACCACTAGTAATGATTATCTTGGTGTGGATAGTAATGAGCAAATAAATAATAGTAAAACAATAAATATTTTAAAAGAGCCATAAGAAGAGAGTGTAATTTTTTTAAGCATTGTTACCACACATTTGATAAATACGAAATGATAGTTGACGTATTTATGTTTTCAGTCACCGAATGTCTAACTCTTCACTCGGTGTATTTATCATTTTTTTCCCTTCTAGGGATGCCCTCTGCAGCTTTATTAGTAAATCTTCTCTCAGCTTTACTCATGCCCTTTGTGCTGGGAGAAACAGAAGTAAGATTTGCTGGACAAACAGAATTTGTTGTCAACGAAACCAGTACAACCGTTATTCGTCTTGGAATTGAAAGGGTCGGAAAACCCGCAAATGCCACTGCAATTGTATCGGTAAGAAATAATCAGAGTTTTGCTCTTGATGGCATATATGGAGTTCCTTAAGAATCTTTTAAACTGTCCGGCATTCTGGACCGTGCCATGATAATAAACGACTTGCGGATGCATTCTTGCCGGCGTGCCTTGTGGAGGTGTTCTGTGGAAGCCACGCACACTTGACAGCGGTGTGGTACAGATAGAGTGGCCATTGTAAAGTGAGCAGACAATTATTTCAAATCATGTAAATTATCAAACGCTCAACAAGCATTTCGAAATAAAAAGCCTTTTCTTAGGGGTGACTTATCTTTTCTGAGACATGTTTTCTATGATAAGTGGCTTAGAGAAAATATATGAGATAATTAAAAGTAAAAATGTGACAGTAGAAGAACAGTAGTTATGTCAGAGAGCTCATTATGTGTGAGAGTGAAATACATTAATTAAAGTAGATGCTATGTGTGCATGTGTGTCTGTCCATTTTTTATCAGGAAGTAATGTCATATCAACAGTAAGATTATTATGGCTTAAAATGAAAGTAGATTTTCTGCAATAAAGATAAGTGATTATATTATTAAGCGCTGTGATAGAGGAAAAGAACAAAAATACCTATGAAACATCCAATATTGGGATTTTATGCATTGCTTTTAGATTTTGTTTAATTCTGTGGCGTATATGTATATATTTATGATTTTTAGTTTATAGTTAATAATTTACTTTTTCATTTAACTTATTGTATCCTAAAATTTTCAATTTAAAACAAAAATCCCGCCCCCCACCACAACTTTCCTCGATGGTGATGTCATTGTTTACTCATTATTCATCAGTTGCTTTCCAAGGAAGGGCCCTGTTGGCATAGTGGGTTAAGTGTTGGCCTGCTAATCCCAAGTTGGTGGTTCAAACCCACCAGCTGCTCCACTGGAAAAGGATGAGGCTTTCTGTCCTGTCAAGATTTATATTCCCAGAAACCCCAGAGGGCTGGTTCATGCTTGCCGATAGTGCTGCTGTGAGCTTACGTTGATGAGACAGTTTTCATACGTAAACATTTTTGCACCTTTTGGATCTTAAAATGATCTTCACACATTGACTTATTGCAATGGATCTTGATACTTCAATTTTTCTTAAAAATCATAACTTTTTGGGGGGAGGGAAGACAAGTTTTCCAACACCTTTGCCTTTATTTGGGTTTCTCAAGTATTTTAAACCTATCTTATTGTTTCATTTTTAAAATAATATATTTTTGTGGTTTCAGTGAAAGTGTCCACAGCAAATTTTAGGCTATCATTTAATAATCGCGACAGCATATTTTTTTAGTGACACTGGTTACATTTTTCACATAGATTGATGTTTGCATGAATTCGATTCTGGACATTTTGTTTTCCATCAATCTGATTTCCCTACTCTTACTCTTTTGCATTTGCTTAAGAGTCACTTTAGACAATTTGGTCTCATTCAAGGGGGTTTCAAAAAGTTTGTGGAAAAAATAGAATTTAAAGAGGAGGGAATTTTCCCATTCCTATTTTGAAACTCACGCAGATGAGTTTGCAGAGTTGTGCATTTCTCACAGATATGTTCTTTATTAAACAAACCGATCTGTTACTTAACGAAAAGGTGACGTCAGGGAGAGTCCATTCAAGGTTCATGGAGGAGGTCAGAGTGAGAGTCGGGGGCGTCCTCTCGTTGCAGTCAGACCAGTGCATTTTAAGAAGTTGAGTTCTGTGCCACAGTTGGCTCCTCCCACATCAGCACCCATCTGTTGTGATCCCGAGCAGATCAATTGTTAGTGTTAGCCCGCGATCATCTAGTTCCGGTTTCAGGAGAGGTGAGTCCAAAACTTATGTAAATGATTCTCCCTGCAGATTAGTTTCTTCTCTGAGTCTTTGGCTCTTTTTTTTTTTTTTTAACAGGAGTTGTTTTTTGTTTGTTTTCCTTTTTTTTTTT